TGTATACCTGGATGTCATTTATCTCAACGCGGGGAATGTGGGCTATGAGGGGCCAATAGTCTCCTTTCTCCTGAAAACGCTCTCCTTTTAGACGCGGACACCCTGAGATCAAGAGTCGTTCAAGCAATGGAGGCAGGCCTTTTCTTGGCAAGGATCGTAGCTTTGGGCACCTCCAGATCCATAACTGTGTAAGAGAGTTAAGGTTCTGGAGGAGGCCTCTGGGTATGGATTTCAGATTCTGAACGTCTTTTATCCAAAGAATGGTTAAAGAAGAAGGAAGCACATTACGTGGAGGACATATATGAGCAATGGTGAACTGATTAAGAGAAGTGAGGGTGTGGAGGCCCCAGTCTCGCATAGGCTGCTTCAGATTCTCACAATCAATTGAAAGATCAGTTAGGCTTGGCGGCAAACCTCCTTCGGGAATTGACTTGATGCTTGGACACCAATATATATACAATTCTCGAAGCGATGTGAGGTTGTCCATTTTATTTGGAAGGGACTTGAGATTCTGACAATTAGATATTGTAAAAAATTTAATATTGGGGATGGATAAGCTCAACTCTGGTATCTCCTGGAAGGACTCTAAAGCATCACATCCTCCAATGTATAAACGAGTGAGATTGCTGAGGCCGTTGACGAATAAGCTTTTCAAATTTACACAATCCCAAATATTCATGCCTTCAAGTCCCGTACAATGTTGCAGCATCCCCGCTGAAATTGATTCCAACCTGTGCCAATCATAAATAAATTTCAATATACATTAAAAGGGCAGCTACTAAGTGATCTTATAACTATGGAAAATATTTTTAAAATTTAGAGAGGGGGAAGTTCTGTTCTTTTGCAAAGCAGTATACCTGGGGCAATTCCCAATTACAAAATTCTTAAGAGCAGCTGGTAATCGATTATCACTAGGGGTAAAATTTAAAGATGGAAGTGCTCCTACATCCAAATTTTCAATATTGTTGCTGGTGTCACCATCTTCTTGCACCAATATTCCCTCTGGTAAAGACTCTACTTTGGCACAATCTCCTATCTCTAGGAGTTGACACGTGGCAGGTAACCTCCCTCTTGGAAAACGCTCTAGACCAGGGCAATTCACAATTCTCAACTCTTCAAGTCTCACCATGTTGTTGCTTCCATCTGCCCTCATCATCATACCATCCGGTAAACACTTCAAAGCCCCACAATTATACAGAGACAGATATTTAACATTGGGAGGCATGAGGCCTCGTTCTTCTCGTGACATTGACACTAGCAAAGGGCACTTCTCAATACTCATACGTTCAAGATGAGCAAGGTTTGTTGTATCCGCTCCTTCCTCCCACAAATAAGTAAGCTCCTGGCACCCTTCAATCTTTATATCCTCTAATGCTGTCAAGGAATCTGTAAATCTCTTGGGCAAGCAACCAAGTCCTAAAATATCTGAAACTTCCAACATTGTGAGCGAAGTCAAATTAACCATGCTTTCCAGAAGTACTTGCTGGCAACCTGCAATGCAAAGTTTTTCAAGAGACGGAAGACTTAAAGATGAACATGTTAACTCTGGGCATCCCTTTATCACAAGATTAATGAGAGATGAAAGGTGGCTGGGTAATTTTCCTGTCAGCTTAGGACAGTTTGCAATCTCAAGGTCCTTCAAACACGAGAATTCTACTCTAGTGTTAGTCAGAAAAGCCCATTTCTCCCAGTTTAACATGTTGTGAAACTTAAGCATCTGCAGAGATGTAAAAGCGCCACGCCCATAAAACTCAGATTCAACAGTTTCAATTGCATTCATGTCTTCAATAATCAACTCTTTGAGTGTAGGTAATTTGCCAACTGATGGCAACGAAGTGCTGTTTCTACAACCAGACAACCTCAAATAGGACAAATTGCAAAAAAATTGATCACCAATCCAGGATGATAATTGCTCACCACCATAGCAACTAATTGTCAACTTTTTCAAATTTTGATGAGGTCTTAAGGCGTTGAGCACTTCCGCTACAATATCGCTTCCCTTTCTTGAATCATCAAAATCAAAAGTCCATCCTAAGACCAACTCATTTAGACCTTCGATCATGTCCAAGTTTGCTTCTCTAGCATCTTGAATGTTAGAAACATTTTGTAGATTCAGAACAGATAGATACCCTCGAAGATTTAACAAGTTCTTCACATCACTTAATCTCAGCCCATTTGTTTTCCCTACTATGAATTTGGGCAATATTAAAAGATTTTTGAGATTAGCTATTTCACGCGGCATATCTTTCAAAGATGGCGTATCAGTAATATCAAGAGAATGAAGGCCATTCAAGTTCCCAATTGTTGCAGGAAATTTGGAGAACTCATAACAATTCCGTAACAACAATGTCTGTAATGACAGGAGGAAACCTATGGATTCAGGCAAGGTTTCTATGGCAGTTTCAGACAAATTAAGGTATCGCAAACACTTCCAATCTCCAATTGAATCCGGAAGCTTTCTTATTTTATAACTTTGAAGAGACAACGCCCTCAAGCGTGTTAACTTCACTAACCAATCATGCACCACTGTATTTGATAGATAGTTTCTACTTGATGATGAATTAATAGGAATGAATGTTCTCAGATCCTTCATTTTATTCAAGATTTCAAATCTCTTAGAGATATCAAGCCATTTACAATCAAAAGAAAAATGGCGAACCTTTTCAAAATTTACTTCTTTCTTTGCTTCTAATATATTTTCAAGATTGCAACATGTTTCTCCAGCAATATATTGAGCTAAATCATGTATGAGGTCATGCATTACATACCTAGATTCATCATTGCTCGGGTCTTGAAAGAATGCTCTAGAAAGTAACTCAGAGAAATACTGATGACCAATGTCTTCAATTTGATTTTCTTCTCCTGGATGTTTTTGCAAAAGCCCCCCTGACATCCACAAGAAAATTAACTCCTCTTTATCAAATCGGTGATCCTTAGGAAACAATGCACAATAGGAAAAGCATTGCTTCAAATGAGAAGGAAGATGATGGTAACTCAACATCAAAGCTGGAAGAATGCTGCTTTTGTCTCCCTGTAGATTCCACATCTTATTTTTTAATATGTATTTCCATTCACGAGGGTCTCGCTTACCACGTAAGAGGCCCCCAAGAATTTTTGCGGCCAAAGGCAATCCTTTGCACATTTTAACCATTTCCTGACCAACATCTTTCAAACCTGGGAGTGCATCGAAGTTCTCTACTCCAAGTGCATCTTGAGCTAATATTGACAAACACTTATCATCGTCAAGTACTTTTAGGTGGTAAATACTATCCTTCCCACCCATGATTTCTGCAACATGCTCGTTACGAGTTGTGACAATTATTATACTTCCTGGTGCTCCTGATTTGAAAGGGACTTTTAGGATATCCCATAGATTGCACTCCTCATTCCAAACATCATCAAGTACAAGTAGAAACTTCTTGTTAGACAGCTGTTCTTTCACCTTTTCTTGAAGCAAATTCAAATTCAAATTTTGCAGATCACAACCTCCCTTCGTTAATTCTATTAGAATGTTTTTTGTGATGCTCATAACTTCAAATTGATCAGAGACACAAACCCAGGCTTTGAGCTGAAAGTCTTCCTGCTTCACCGCCCCGTAAACTTGTCGAGCTAGAGTGGTCTTGCCAATACCTCCCATCCCAACAATGGGAAGAACACAATACCCCTCCGAACCCCCTTCACCATTGAGCAACTTTTGAAGAATGTCCTCTTTATCACCCCTTCGACCATAAACATGCGATTCAAGTTGAGGAGTAGTGGGTACCCATCCTGTAGCTGCTCTGTCAAGCTTCTCTCCAACTTGCATTGTGGAACTCATTAGGCACAAGGTCCTCGATTGTTCTATCATGCTTTGCAATCTCTTAGCAATTACCTTCACCTTAGAAATGGTATCGGAGTCAAACACAAAATCATTGTGTTTGAAACGAGGAAAGCATTTGAGGGTGAATTTGCTGGTACAACCTTGGTGAGGTTTTGCCATCACAGTGCTCGTCTGGACATCAGCCTGGAATCCATCGAGAACGTCCTCCATATCATAAGCCAAGTCCCTGAGATAATGAAGCCATTGCTTCACAGAATCATTAGTTATTTGCTTCTCTTCAGCATCTTTGAGTACAGCACAGATCTGTGGAAAAACCAATTTCCACTCTTCAAGCTCTGCTTGAACCTCTTCTTGTAAGTCGTTGGATTTAAGACGGTCATCCAACTTCTGGAGCAGCCTCCCGAAAGCAGCAGATAGTAGTGCATCTCCAGCCATAGACAGGACTTCCATTGTGTAGAAGAAGTTTCCTATAAGATTGAAGTTTAAGATTAGAAGTTATTATCCTCCCAATAATAATATATCAAAACGAAAAAAAAAAAATCAAAAGTAATTAGTTTGCATACTATTGAGCGTTGATCTGTTTTGAGTTCATCCTTTTTTAAAGCCAAAATTATTTTAAAAGGTTTCATTGAGAAGCAATCATTTTTAAAAGATTGCAGATGAAAAAATAAATAAATAAATAAACTGATGAAGAAGAGAAAAACGAAGCCATGTAAAAAAATGTAGAGTAATTGGAAGCATAAATATGTAATGTACCTTTGCCTTTACCTTGAACCTTTTTCGATTTTTTCGAGGGAACAGAAAGTCAGGAACAAGAAGATTTAGTAAGAAAAAATGGGTAACGGAGAGGGAGAGTTACAGGGCATGGAAGAGGGAATGTTGCTGAGCTTGCGAAGAAAGAAAGTGTTAAGCAGCCTATTGACAACAGGCGTCAATTAATTGACCCAGTGAAAGCTCAACTTTGCCCTTTGTTTACTTTGTCAATTGCCCTCTAATGAAGGGCTTTTCGACTTTTCACAAGCACGCGCTTTACTCCGCTAACTCTCAATTGATTTTGACTTCTTAAATGTCGAATTTGCCCTCCCAATTTTCAACTGATTATGGTTTTTTTTTTTTGAACAAGGTTGCAATTATGAGGAAGGGGCAATCTAATCCCAACCCTCGAAACTGAAGATGTACCTTACAAATCGATCTATAATCGTTGAGTCATGAACCCCAAGTACTTGATTATAGTTTTTCGGACTTGCCATACCCAGGAAGAAACCTCCCTAATTCAACTAAAGCTGCAGAGGCTTTTCAATTGATTAAAGACCTTTTAATAGAAGAGAAGATTTTGGTGATTATGGCAGTGAATTAAAATTTTTTAAAATTCAGATAATGAGAAATTTTATTTTACAATTTAAATTATATTAAATTATAAAATAATAACTATTAAATAGAGAGGAGACTTTCAATATCAATTAACTTAATTTTATCAATGATTAATGTAATATAGGATGATACACTTTAGATTACATTATTTTTTTCTGTATAATATTATCAATTTTACTCCTGAAAAAAGATTTGGGATATTATGGTCATGTAATTTCTTGTTAATAAACTGAATCCGGTTTTTATGTTTTTGGTGGGTCAACATTGAGGTGTTTTGGTCTCTGCGGTTTATTTTGTGAGGGCAATTTAATCAGCTCAAATGTTGGCCGACGCGTTTCCATGGGCTGTCCACTAAGGCCCACCATGGGCTGAAGTCATACTCTCTTTTTCTTCTTTTTTGATAAACGTATGGACTACGGTGTATGGAGTCATTTCAATGAGCTGTTGTCTGGTGAGTCCCGCTACGTCCTGGAGTCATGGTCCACCGAAGAAGTCGTACGTTGTTTTTCTCAAGTCATTTTCCTTAGAAAGGCCACACATTCACTTCACCCACAATGCTTTTGAAATGTAAAAGCCGAGCCTGCTTGGTGCTTGCAGTGTGCACGTCAAGTTAATTTCAAGTGGGCGGCACGGCATTATTGTCAATATTTAAGGGCCGTGTTAGGTCAGTCCATTGGTCTTTTTTTATATGTCTACAGTGAGTTAACAAAATTTCTATTGGATGTGAATTAATTAATTAACAGGTCCAGCAAGGCAGCAATCAAGACTTGCAACATTGGTGTTTTGGAAAAGCTGAAACAGTTTGCTTTGGTAGGGCAAGATAAGATGACACTTACAATGTCAATCATCAATGATGGATTTAGGATTTGAAACGAGGGATTAAATTCATCAATATCTAAACTAAAATGGTACCTAAAATATTATTTTTTATAATCTATTTTATTTGTATTAATTTAATTTTTATATAAATTTTGACATAATAATTATATAATAAATATATAACTACTAAAATTTTTAAAACATAATGTTTTTTAAATATTTTATTTAAATAAAAAATTTTAATTTTCATCTATTTATTATATAAAATTATCAATTTAAACTCTATTTCATTTGGTTGTAGTTTTAAATTTTTAATTTTAGTTTTTAAAATTCAAAAAATTAAAATGAAAAATTAACAACTAAAATTAAAAATTAAATTGTCAATTTATTGAGTATAAAATTTTAAAATAAATACCTAAAACTTTAAATTTAATTAATTTATATAAATTTTAAATTTTATTCTAAAGTTTTTAAAATTTTTAAAACTAAACAAAATTTAAAACCACAGTTATATTAAATGAAACCTTAATAAACATAAAGTTAATACAATGAAACAATTAAAAAGTATTTAAAAGAGTAAATACATAATTACAAACTTATAAACTTGTGTTTACAATAAAATTTAGTCATGCTCAATGTAAAAATATTAGATTGTTTCAAAATTTTGGTGATTAGTAAAATTTTTTAAATAGGAAATAGATAAAATGCAATATTTTTTTGCCTCTTATTGCAGAATGCAGAGAGACTTGCTTCCGCAGCATAGAGGAGGGTTTGCTGTATTTCCTAACTGTTACTAATATTCCTTGCACGAAACCCGTGTTTTACATTACATGGAGAAGATGAACGTTTAGAGTTCATTTTTCTAATTTTGTTTCAAATTTAAGTCTGAATTCTTCAATTCTAAATAAAAAGTTAGTAATTTTAATGAGTGTCGTGTTCTTGATGAGTACTCTTTCATACTGATGATTGTAAGTTCCAATTTTCTTTTCTATTACAACATAAATCAGGTGGATAACTACCTGTCATTAGTCATTACCAATCACATTATGCATCTTAGCATGTCTTGCAAGTAATGAAAATTTGGACCGTCGCATTAGTAGAGGAAGGTTTCAACACAATAATGATGCTTCATGAGAAAAACAGAGATGAAACAAACTAACATGTTATACCCTTGTAAGGGAGAAAAAACTACTTGAATCAATTCACAAATCCATTGTACAATTTGATTACATTTCTGAACCATATCATTCATCATGCTTTGCATCTGGAGTTGACACTATACGTGAAACGTTATTGATGTGTGCCTAGCAATAGATAAATGTCTGGACACCTTTTGCCCCGCTGTGATAGGAAGTGGAGAAGATGGCATCTGTTGACCTGGAAAATCTTTAGGTAGAATTGTTGGAGACTTAGAACTGAAATTTGACATGGTTTCCCTTCCCCTATATAAGGTATGGGTGATGGCAGTGCGGTTCCACCCCTCAGCGTAGGCCTAGGGCCATTTCATAGAAACCAGCAGCAGTAATGAGCTAGAAACTTTGAGGTGTTGTGGCTCAGGGGGGATTTGGCTATCCTTGCCATGAAGGTGGAGGTGGTGGAGCTTGGTGGGAGCAGAGGTCTTAGAGGAGCAGCTGGATCTGCCTTTCCACTAGTTGCAAGGACAGGCAGATGTTTGTTTGCCCTTGGTGGCTTTGACCTTTGAAACAAACCTGTAGGTGCAAGTTGATGAATACCAAACAGTAGTCAGATATCATCCACAACAAATTCCCAGAAACTTTCAATGCTCTTAAGAGTTTAGACCAACTCAGTTCAAATGATTCATATCAAAGTCAAATGCATATGATAAATGGGTTCTAGGTTGGATTCTACCAGGAAACAAGGCATGTTTGGTCTGAAAAGTGGGGTAAGAAAGAAGAAGTTAAAAATGAAGAAAAGAAGAAAAGTGGCAACCAGTAAAAATAGGGATCGAAGAGACTAACCATGAACATTTTGGAGTCAGGATCCCAATCTGAGAAGAATTTGGGAGTGGATTTGTCAATCTCAGTGCTAGAGATCTGAAAAGTAAATACAAAAGGAAATATGAATATTTCATGAAACTCAATGAAAATAATAGATTGTCAGGTAACACAATCTATTACCTCGAAAGTTATGATCTCATATGGTGCTGCTACAAAAAGAGGATACTGATATGTATTATCAAAATGTTGCACCCTCTGCATCCATGTAAAAGTACAAACAAAGAAATTAGATTTTACTTTTGAAAAAAGTAAAGTCATACCTAAAACCATGACCTAAAAACAGAACTGATAGGTACATAAAAAACCCACCAACTGGCTTATAAGATGACATGATGATAACATGCATTGTTTTCTATATCAGATTAGTCAATCTGGCATGGATGATGAAACCAAAACCACATTGTCATTGCATATAAACAGTATAAGACAGATCATCACACAATGGAACAACAACTTTGCATAAATTTTAATCAAAACATACTGGGAGCACTGGAGGGAAAACAAAATTTCAATTTAATGAATTGCAGGAGGGAGGCCATCCAGCTTATAGTGGGTTACCCAAAAAGAGAATTAGAACATAAATATATATTAGAAAAGAAGACACGGAGATGGTAACAAAAACAGATTTGACCATACTACTTTATTTTTTTCTGGGAGACTCAAAAAGGCATTTATAATTCCAGACATTTGTGTTGAGCTAAATTTTGAAATTAGTCCTGGCTAACAATTGTTCAAAGTTCTACATAATTCAAGAAGCTTTCTATATTATAATATTCATGTTGTAGAAGCAGATATGAATACTTCTATGAAACTCAAATGAGAATAATTATGTGAGGTAACACAACCTCTTACCTTGAAAGCTATGATCTCGATACAGAGCTGCCGCAAATAGAAGATACTGGGATGTCCTATCAAACGTTGCACTCTCTGCATCCATGTAAAAGTAAACAAAGAAATTTAAATTTCACTTTGAAAACAAAGTAAAGTAGCACTAAGAGCTCAACATTATTTTTGTGGAATCATAGGTACATTATGGAATTTACAGTTTAGGGTAAAGTATAGGGAATCACTAAAACAATTAACCTAAAAAAAAGGAACTGTTAGGTTCATAAATAAACCACCAGCCTGCTCTTAACTTGACATAATATGTTGCCTTGGCTTTGCATTGTCTTATCTCAAGTTCACTCCTGATTAGACATGCAATTGTGAATGGAAATCTAAATTAGCTGTCCCAGGCTAGAAGCATTTAACTAAAAAATCTCATTTGAACCTGTTCCAGGCTTGGCTAAGCAGGTGTGAATGAATATTCCTAGGAAAAAAAAAAAAGAGGGATTCAAGTTTGAAATATTTGAAGCTGGTGAAATATATTAAGGAAATGAAGGTGTGGAAGTTAATCAAGAAAAAGAAAAGAAGCCCAATGCTATTTCAGTTGAGCCGTCTATCAATAAACAAATTATTATGAAAGACATAAATTTGTGCTGTCTGTTCATCGTATAAACTCAATGTGCCTGAAGCACTCAATCAAAAAGGGGAAACAAAACTTCAATTGCAGAAGGATATTCTGCTTATAACGGGGTAACCTGAAGGACAAATTGGAGATGGTGGTAACAAATAACAAGGCCTCGCAATTTATTAGTATCATTATTATTATGTAATAAATAAATTTCTAAATTCTGAGTTTCAGAAGAGCTTCATTGTACTTTGATGCCATTTATCACAACACAGGGAATGTGGGCTATGGGGGGCCAATACTCTCGTTTCTCCTGAAAACGCTCACTTTTTAGATGCAGACACCTTGAGATCAAGAGTGGTTTAAGCAATGAAGGCAGGCCTTTTCTTGGCAAGGATTGTAGCTTTGGGCAGTTCAAATCAATAATTCTTCAAGAGAGTTAAGGTTTTGGAGTAGGACTTTGGGTATGGATTTCAGATTTTGGACGTCATATATCCAAAGATCGTTTAAAGAAGAAGGAAGCCCATTATTTGGACGACATATCTGAGCAATGGAGAAGAAGAAAAGAGAAGTGAGGGTACGAATTTCAGACTTTTTTTTTTTTTTTTCCTGTGAGACTGAAAAAGGCATTTATAATTTCAGACATTTGTGTTGAGAATAAATTTAGAAATTAGTGCTGGGTAACAATTGTTCAGAGTTCCACATAATTCAATAAGCTATCTATAACATTCATGTTGCAGAAGCAAATATGAGTTCACCATGAAACTCAAATGAAAAAAGTAATGTGAGGTAACACAACCTACTACTTGAAAGCTACGATCTCCATACAGAGCTGCTGCAAACAGAAGATACTCAGATGTCCTATCAAACAGTTGCACTCTCTGCATCCATATCCATGTAAAAGGAAACAAAAAAATTTAGATTTCGCTTTTGATGAAAACAAAGTAAAGTCGCCCTAAGAACTCAACATTTCTTTAGTGGAATCTTTTGTACATTATGGAGTATTAATTTAGGGTAAATCATTGGGAATCCCTAAAACAATTGACCTAAAAATGGAACTGTTAGGTACATAAATAAACCACCAGCCTGCTCTTAACATTGACATGATATCGTTTCTTGGCTTTGCATTGTCTTCTACCTCAAGTTCATTCAAGATTCGACACGCAATTTCAAATGGATATCTAAATTAGCTGTCCTGTGCTAGAATCAGATTACTGAAAAATCTCATTTGAACCTGTTCTAGGCTTGGCTAAATAGGTGTGAATGCATATCCCTAGAAAAAAAAAGAGGGACTCAAGTTTGAAATAAGTGAAGGTGGTCAAAATTAAACGTATAAACTCAACGTACCTGAAGCACTCAATTCAATCACGGGAGGAAAACAAAATTTCAATTGCAAGAGGATATTCTGCTTATTGCGGGATAACCTGAAAGAGAAATTGGAGATGCTGGTAACAACTAACAAAAGCCTCTCCTTTTATTTAACAAATTTATTTAAAAAAGTTAATATTTTTAAATAAAAATAGAAAAAATAGAGATTCAAGTTTGAAAATTTTGAAGGTGGTCAAAATTCAAGGTATAAACCCAACGTACCTGAAGCACTCAATTCAATCAAGGA